CGCTCCAGCCTGGGCCCTCTCAGATATTAATGCCATCCAAGGCTTGAACTGGACTTGTCACCCTGGTGTCCCTTCCTCTGAGAGGGTCTAACCCTTCCTTCCTACAGTTTTCTTAATTCTGGTGTGTTCTGGTTTGTTGCACCCACAATCCAACTCACCAGCATCTCTCGGAAAGCCTTTCCATCATGGCAGTACGCTGCTGGGAACGGGCTAAGTTCAGCTGCAATAAACAAGAAGTCAGCAGCTCGGATGTGCAAAACCCAGGAGTGGGATTAATTGTAAAGTTTCAGGACGCGACCATCAGGAGCAAAGCCGCCTGCTGGTCTGTGGAGTTATATATGGCGCTCGCTTTGCTTGTTAACAGGAAACTACAAGACAACTCCAAACATTCTTTTCCATTTGAACGTCTTCTGATGTAATCATCTTCCATTATGGTGACAACTTCAAGGCAGGAGCTTGGTTTGCTTTCTTTATGTTCTTCAGAATGATACCATTAACAACCCCTCTGAAGGGATCAGAGGAAATCAGGAGAAATTTATGAGGCTCTGTCCAGCCGTGGACCCTCGGCCCCTCTGTCAAAGTCGGGCGAAAGCCGCCCGTGGGGTCAACAGTTATTACAGCAGGTGGACAGGCCAACAAGGCAAACGATCTTGTGAGGTTCCCTGCCCGACGATGCCGCACTGCAAACAGATTCGTTTTCACTCCGACAACCTCTTAAGGGAGTCTCAGAACGCTGGCTGTTGATGAATGCCCCTGTGGGGGGAGATTGGGATGTCTCTAATATGCCGTGAAAGGAATTGTGTTTCTGGTCTCTAGGTGAAGCCTCTTGCTCGTTCTAATTGCAGTTGGCATGTAAGTCCACCTGCTGTCTGCTGGGAGCCTGTTTCTGCCTTCAACTCTTGCCTGGGGAAATCGTTTCTTGGGAAAGTATTTCGACAATTCCTAGGAATTCTTTAAAATTTTGCTCCAAAATATATGAACCTGCAATGGATAAGTAGGCGTGTTTGCACAACCTTTCCATGAAGGCCTGTCCCGGCGTGTTCCACAGGCCTCGGGCTAGAAAACCATCATTGCCGTAGGAAGCATTTTCACGTACAAAGACACCTGAGCACCGAGAATTAAGGAGAGCTTCCTGGGTTGTCACTTTTATGAGAAAGAAAGGGGATTTAAAGATCTTAATCAGCCTACTTTCTTTCTCTTCGCCGGCTCCACTGAGATACAAACGATATAAAAGCCTACGTGAGTTTAAGGTGCACAGCGTGACGACGTGATACATGTACGCACTGGGAGACGGTTACCACCGGAGCGTTCCTGATGGCCTCCAGCACCTCACGTCACTGTGTGTGTGTGTGTGTGTGTGTGTGTGGTGGAACTTTTAAGATCTACTCGCGGAGCAACTTAAAATTACGTAAAATAGTCTTGTGAACTACAGTCACCAGGCTCCACGTTAGCTCCCCAGAACTTACTTATCTTCTAACTGAAAGTCTGTACCCTTTGGCCACCTTCCCCCAATCCAGGAGAATTAAAGGTTGTCTAAAAACTGTAAGAGTAATAATAACACTAATAATAACAATGGTGTATTTATAATAGTATAGACGATAATATAATTAATATTAATGAAAATAGCTCTATTAATGTCAATATATTAATAGTTTCTATTATCATTAATATGTTACATAGAATGTATAGTATTATAGCATAATACATTCTCATATATTATTATTACTATTATAAATAACTTGTTGAAACTGGTACCCTGAAGAGTTGGGATGATAGGAGAAATACTCAAGAGAGATGGGAAACCTGAAAACTACTTCCTACTCATAATTTTACACCTTACATCACAGACATATTTTTTCTGACAGACCATCAAAGAGAATGACAGAGACCAGTTTCCAAAAATGCCTCGTTTATCTTTACATTTAAAGACAGAGCCATTGTTTTGGGGAAAGCAGTCCTCCACTGCCTTTTTCATTTACATCACAGCTTCAGAACCAGTAACACAGCTGTAACGAATGATAACGTACAACTGATTCAAGTGACTAACAGCCGCGGTCTGTCTCAGAGACCAGAGTGTGCGAGATGGAAGAAAAAGTCTGCAGTCGCAACATTACAGAGGAAAGTTCCCTTCTTAGAAACAAGTTACCTGAATTAATGAGCTTAGCCGACTGGCTGACTAAATCAAACCCTTTCCTCCCTGGAAACTCCTCAGATAGAAAATCCTTCAAAGGTTTCTGCGGATCCTCTGATGTACAGAGCAAGTCCCATTTTATTAAAAGTCTCTCCACCTTTAATGAAGGAGATTCGTTTTGCTTTTGTTTTTTTCTGTGCGAGCATCTCTGCGGGAGAGGAGAGAAGTGACGGGACAGGTGGCACACATCTCTCCAAGGCAGTGACTCCTGCACGCGGGCAAGGAGCAGTGTGAAAATGCAGATGCGGGCATCCGCGGCCTTGCCACCTGTAAACGCTAGGCAATTCAGTGTGATGTGCTCTGGGGAATAATTTAGGTAAAACTGCGTTTATGTGGCACGAGCCCCGCAGTGAAAGGCGCTCCTGTGCTCATTTGGCCATTTTATCGTCAGTGCGGAGGACTTCACCAGAAGCCGCCAAGACCCCAGGGACTCGTGAATGCTCATTAACTCCAAGCAGAGACACCTACAGAATGCAGAAAAAGCACTTAAGATGCCACCACTCCCATCTCAAGATAATCCACTGTAAACTTAGAACTCAGGCAAAGGTCGCACACTGAACCACCCGCGGACACCTGGGGACCATCTGAAGAGGCAGGGCAATTTTCAGTTGCAGCTACTGATGCCGGAGGGCCAAGAGGGGGCCGAGGGCCAGGGTTTTGGATTTCTCCCTTCAGGTAACAGCATGGCCGACCCGGGAGTGTCTGGAGCCTGGTGGTCTGGGTCCAGGTCCCGGCTGGGCCATTTGCTCTCTGGGTGACCCTGGAAAATTAATTACTGAATCTCTCTACGCAGTAATTTCCTCATTTGTGAAACGTGTATCATGGGGATGACAGGACTTTAGAGGAGTTTTGAGGAGAGAGAAAAATGAACTCTCAGCTTCATGGTGGCCAAGACGAAAAGAGAAATGTCTTGACTCTGTTGAGGTCATTTTGTCAACAGAAGGAAGTGGCATATCCCACTGTCCAAGGAGATTTCTTCCAACTTTGAACTCTAAAATTTCTAAAAAGGGTCTTTGTACAGGAGACATTTAACAAAGAGCAACTGAAGTAGCAGTTCTATTGAAAAAGTAAAGAAATTCTACATGCATCAGATCCCCAGTTTGGCCCTCAGGACCAACGCTAGGCACACTCAGCTTACTTCCTAGTCTTGTAAAGGAATTTGCAAGAAGCAGGTGAGTGGAGAGGCGGAGAGGGTAGCCGGGCCACGTGCATCTGTCTGTGCTCATCTGGCAACACAGAGACAGAGCTTAGAAAGTCTCCATCAGAGAATTGTCAGTACCTCCCTATTTTAGCTTTCTCAAGTATCAGATGACTTTTGTTTGGGTTCATATGGAAATGCCATTGTGATATGGACATCTTATATGTTGACTAAAAGAAGATGCATTTGCTGCACAAACCAAGGATGTGCATGGGATGGGTGGGGGAAGGGTAAGCAAGTGAGATGGGGAGAAGAATGTGGACCAAGAATTCTCAAAATGTGACTTTGGGTCCTTTGAAGTCCTTGAATGATTCTGAAACAGAGCTCCAGAATTCTGCACCAGAAATAACCCTAGCCTCGGAGATTTTTCAGGACAGTCATCAATTTTCTACTTCTGCTGTAGCAGAACCTAAATCTAATTCCTGTAGAAAGGTTGACTTGGGGCAGGACTGCGTCCTGAGAGGTCAGGGAAGTTTTAAAAAGCAGCAAAATGTACCCTGACATTTTGACTGCTTAATCAACAGATGGTCCTTTGGAAAACACCTTCCCATCTTAGAATCATCGCTGAAGCATCTTCTCTGAAATTTGCTTTCTTATGCCAATAAATAAGGAAATCAGTAAGTAATGAATACATTTGAAAAGTCTATCTGTCATTAAAAGAAGTGAGACTTTTTCATCGAACTCACTCATTCGTTAATTCACCGGTTGTTTGTCGCACACTTTACTGGTTATCAGGTCCTCATGAGACATGGTGCCGGGTATTGGAAACAGTGAACCTCACCATCCCTGCCCGCACGTGCCGGGGGACACACGCCGATGCAGAACACTTACACTGGGCTTTCTCTGCCCCAGGAGCTGCTCCAGGTGCTCTGCACGTACTAGCTCGTTTACTCCTTACAAGCGCTGTGGACGTTAGGGTATTCTCATTATACTTTGTAAACGAGAACTGAACAGATGCAGAATAATTTGCCTTTACACCAAGGAAGTTTCTGGCCCCCCAGAACGTACTACAATCTCAGTCACAGTTTCACTTCCCTCACCTGAATAAAGGAACGCCCAGCGCAGGGCAGGCACACCGTGTGCGTTGGGAAATTACAAATTGAGTCAAACCTCTTACAGCCTAAGGGAGGAGAGGCCCTTGGGAGAGCATCAAACCAATGGGGGCAGGGGGAGAGGATACCCCCTCAAGCCCGTCAGTCACTCAGCGTCCTCACATTAAATAGGACGGAGCACTTGTGAGGAGATCGACTGTCTCGCTGGTCGGTATGCACTTGACTCTGCCAATCGGCGTGTGAATTTCCAAGATTCTTCCTGCGAGTTAAGTGGCCGTGGGAAGTCTTTACGTGAGTTTAAGACAGGAGCAAGCTCGTTACTGCCGCTGCCACGAGCGTGCTGTCGTCTGGCACACCGAAGGCTCTCCGCATAACCTCTTGTGCCTTTAACCACTTTCTACAGATTCCTGGTTTGACCAAATCAATTTCATACATTTTACACAGCTAGAGAAGTGACGACGCAGGGACAAAAACGAGTGATGTTCACCAAGGAAGCCCTTTTAGTTACACGTATACAAATTAAATTGACGTTCTGATTCTCCCTGGGGAAAACCTTGGTAAGGCATCACTGTGGGCCCTAGAGAAAATAATGACTTATTCTGGGCATCTGAAAGTATACTAGATTTGTGTATTTTCTCAGCAGTTAGAACCTAAATTTGCCTATGAAACATGTAGTAAATGGGGGTTAAGCAGACAACCTGAGTGACCCAAGTGTTGTCATAATCCATTCTCCTCTTAATTCTTCATTATAATATAGTCCTTAAAATCACTGAAAAATTCTCATTACTGCCATACACACTGCTGGGACAGGCTAAAACATTAAATGGGGGGAAGGATGAGAATAAATCAGGATGAGGGACCCGCATAATAGACGTTGACCAAAGGCGCTAGTGAGGCGCTGCTTACATGAACGCGTAAAACTGATAGTAACAGACGATCTTTTAGGATCTCAGAGTAATAATTCAAACGAGAATGGTTGTCGGAGGAGATAGCAGGGTCATGAAAAGAAATATATCCTTCACTGGAAGCAGGGAGGCGCTGAGGAACCTCCTCCCGTCTCTGCTGCTTTCAGAGGCGTGATTTGCATGCCAAAAATTTCCACCAACAAGGACAAGTCCATCGGGGAGAGATGTGCAGACGTGCATTGCGTTGGCTCCTGGGCTTCCTCGGTCCTGCTGGGCTGCTTTGTGCGACTTGGCGTGGTGACGCGTTCAAACAGGATGGATCAAAGTGCCCAAGAGCCAACTGTGAGAATTCAAAGGCTTTAAAAAAGGCTTCAGATGATCTGGAAGCATCTCGGTGCAACGCTTCCAGTGCTTTAATTTCTTGCAGCATTTTGCCTTTTGGGCTTCGCAGAATTTAACTGTGGCTGAAGTTAAGTGCTCGGCTGGGCGCTGGCTTCTCTTGCGTCCCCTAATGAAGGCACGGTGAGAACCTGGATTATCTTACTTGGATTTGCTTACCTACTTGTCTAAGCGGTTTAAATCTTTCCACTGGAACCAATTCTCTGAGCGTCTTCCTGCTTCTGGGGGGTGCGGATAAGAGATACAGGGATGCCCTTCGCGGCTAGATGAATCTAGCGCCTTCAGTGAAAGGCCACAGCTGGATGGCTGCTCCAAGCAGTATCATGAAAGTGGGTTAAAAGAAGAAATACAGGGCCTTATTAAAATTTCAAGGGCAACTGAGAAAGGCAAGATATAATGAATGGTACTGGAGTTTGGCCAGGTCAGCGGTGTTAAAACTCACTCAAAGAAATAGATAAATCCGAGGCCCTGGCCTTTATTTAACCTCCCACCCAAAAAATGATTCTCCTTTGCTAAAACTTCTGATGATAT